AAATAGGAATGCACCATCATGCCCAGCTAATTTTTCTATTTTTTGTAGAGATGGGTCTCACTCTTGCTCAGGCTGGTCTTAAACTTCTTGCGTCAAGTGATCCTCCTGCTTCAGCCTTCTAAAGTGCTAGGATTACAGGTGTGAACCACCATCCTCAGCTAGAAAAGGTATTTCTAAAAGTACTTGCTATATTAAATAACAAAACCCTTTTTCATTCCTCCCCTGTCTGTCTGACAAAAGGTTCTCAAAGTAAGAAATTATCTCAGGGCAAAAATCAAATCCAGGGTACTGCCAGTAAAAATGGCCTCAGAGTGAAGATCAAAACAAATAAAGGGTCAGCAGTAAAACCTTTTGTTAGCTGGATGCAGCAGCTCATGTCTGTGCATAGTGAGACACAGTCTCTTAAAACAAACAAACAAACAAACAAACAAACAAACAAAGGCCAGGCACGCGGCTCACTCCTATAATCCTCTAGCACTCTAGCCCTGACAACAGAGTGAGACCTCATCTCAAGACAAACAAAAACAAGACAAATAAATATAAACAAAAAAATCTCTTTGTTAAGATCTAACATCTTGACTAGGTGAGGTGGCTCACGCTGTAATCTTAGCACTCTGGGAGGTAGAGGTGGGAGGATCACTTGAGCTCAGGAGTTTGAGACCAGCCTCAGCAAGAGCAAGACTGTCTAAACAAACAAACAAAAAAATTTAACATCTTGTTGAGATCTAAAATTTAATATATATATACATATATATATTATTTTTTTGAGACAAAGACTTGATCTGTTGTCCTGGCTAGAGTGCAGTGGCATCATCATAGCTCACTGCAACCTCAAACTCCTGGGCTAAAGTGATCCTCTTGTCCTGCTCAGCCTCCCAAGTAGCTGGGAGTACAGGTGTGCCACCATGCCTGACTGACTTTTCTATTTTTTTGTATAGACGGGGTCTTGCTCATGCTCAGGCTGGTCTTAAACCCCTGACATCAAGTAATCCTCCTGCCTTAGCCTCCTGAAGTGCTAGGACTACAAGTGTGAGCCACTGCACCCAGCTGAGATCTAAAATTTAAGGTGATGTTCTGTAGACCCTCTCAACTAGACAAAAGAGTTTCTATACTAAAAATCTTAAGGGTGTAGTTTCACCACATTTGTAGCCTAAAGGAAGGTCTCTATTGATAGAGTGAGGTGCCTTCTGTCTAACTGACTAAAACTTATTATTTAGAAGCCCCACAGAGTTTTTTTAAAAAATAAATTTAAGGGATATAGGTTTTGTTACACGAATATATTGCATAGTGGTGAAGTCTGGGCTTTTTGTGTAACCATCACAAGATTAGTGTATGTATTACCCCATTAGGTAATTTCTCATCCTATACTCCCCACTCCCACCCTTCTGGGTCTCCAACATCTATTATTCCATTCTCTATGTTCATGTGTATGCATTCGTTAGCCTCCTCTTATAAGTGAGAACATGTGGTATTTGATTTTCTGTTTTTAAGTTATTTCACTTAAGAGATAATGGCCTCCAGTTCTAACCATGTTGCTGCAAAAGACATGATTTCATACTTTTTTATGGCTCAGTAGTAGTCCATGATGTGTGTATGTGTGTGTGTGTGTGTGTGTGTGTATCCACCACATTTTCTTTATCTAATCCCTACAGAGTTTTAAAGAAAAGTTTAATAGTGACAGCAACACCATGTTGGACTATAAGGGACAAAGACAATTCAAAATAAAAAATGGTCGTCTCTGGGCCTCCTACTTCTTTGGGCAGGAAGCAGTCTGAGAAAACTACTCAGCTGCAAACCCAGATCATTTCCTGTTTAAAAGGAAAAACATCTGAGAAAGTAGAGAGCCAAGGGGCTAAGAGGGTGGATCTAGAAGCCCAGGAGAGCAGTGGTGAATAGTAGGATAATCCTACCAGGACCAGAACCAGACCCTAACTAAGGGAATTCTGGATTTGGGGTGGACTGAGATATATGCCTATCTGGGTGTCAGAATTTCTATGGATCAGTGACAGCTTTGTCTCCTACTCTCTCATACTCCGTCTTGAACAGGAGTGTCTATTATGGTTATCCTGTCTCTGTCTCAGCATTGTATGTTTGGTATGTGGGAGGCAGATAACTTGTATTTTTAGGAAACAGGTAGTGGTGTGCTGGTAAATGTTTAACAGCTGGTCTCCAGCGAATAAATTAAAAAGCCCTAGCCGGGTGCGGTGGCTCACGCCTGTAATCCTAGCACTCTGGGAGGCCGAGGCGGGCGGATCGTTTCAGCTCAGGAGTTCAAGACCAGCCTAAGCAAGAGAGAGTCCCTGTCTCTACCAAAAATAGAAAAAATTAGCCAGGCATGGTGGCACATGCTTGTAGTCCCAGCTACTCGGGAGGCTGAGGCAGAAGGATCGCTTGAGCCCAGGAGTTGAGGTTGCTGTGAGCTAGGCTGATGCCATGGCACTCTAGGTGGGGCAACAAAAAGAAAGAAAGAAAGAAAGAAAGAAAGAAAGAAAGAAAGAAAGAAAGAAAGAAAGAAAGAAAGAAAGAAAGAAAGAAAGAAAGAAATAAGAAGAAAAGAAAAGAAGAAAGAGAAAAAAGAAAGAAAGAAAGAAAGAAGAAAGAAAGAAGAAAAGCCCTGATTTGTAGTGTACCAATTTTCTGTAGTGTAAATTCTCCCACTATGGCCAATTTCAAGCTACTAACGTGACATCACTGAATATGGAGTTGGGAGATTGGGAGAAGATTTCACAATCAGCTCCCATGAGTCAGTGTGAGCTAGCTCTAGGACACCACAGAAGGCCCCTGCACCTGAAGAAATGTACCAGAGGAGCCTCAACTATTTTTGTGCCTGATTCAGATAATGAGACACTGGACTTCAAGCCTGATGCTGATGCCATAAGGCAGGCATCCTCAAACTATGGCCCGCGGGCCACATGCGGCCACCTAGCACATTTATACTGCCCTGTGGGTGTTTTTGCCGCCGCTGCCTGTCCTGCTTAGCAGCCGACTCATCCGGGCCCACAGTGCACACTCTCCAATGGTCTGATGGACAGTGAACTGGCCCCCTGTTTAAACAGTTTGAGGACCCCTGCCATAAGGGATGAAAGTTTGGAGGGTGGGGAGGCTTAGGAGAGGGTGATTGTATTTTTGCATGTGGAGGAACGTGGATTATTAGGGGCCAGAGAGCAGACTATAGTAAATTGCTATATTGGCAGCCCAATGAACGGTACCTCCTGATTTTCATGCTTTGTTCTAGTCCATCCCATGCTGATTCTGGGCTTGGCCACAATGTCTTGCTTTGTCAATGGGTTATTAGCAAGCGAGGTGTATGCAGAAGCTTGACAGTGATTTACACATTGAAATTGTCCTTTTGGAATCCAGCCAGCCTTCCTTACAGAGCTTGGGCTAGATACTGAATGATAAGAGGCTTCACAGAGAGAGGCTCTTATGGACTGAATGTGTTCCCTCAAAATTCATATGTTGAAATCCTAACTCCAATGTGATGGTATTAGGAGCTGAACCCTTTGGGAGGTGATTAGGCTTTATGAGGGTGGAGCCCTCATAAATGGGATTAGTGCCTTTAATTTATTATTTATTTATTTATTTTATTTTTTTGAGACAGATCTCACTTTGTTACCCAGGCTAGAGTGAGTGCTATGGGTCAGCCTAGCTCACAGCAACTACTTCTGCGGCTCAAGCGATTCTGCTGCCTCAGCCTCCCGAGTAGCTAGGACTACAGGCATGCACCACCATGCCCGGCTAATTTTTTTTCTATATATATTAGTTGGCTAATTATTCTTTCTGTTTATAGTAGAGATGGAGTCTCGCTCTTGCTCAGGCTGGTTTCGAACTCCTGACCTTGAGCAATCCGCCCGCCTCAGCCTCCCAGAGAGCTAGGATTACAGGCGTGAGCCACCGCGCCCGGCTGGTTAGTGCCTTTATAAAAGAGACCTCAGAAAGCTGCCCTGCCCTTTTCCTCTAGATGAGTCATAGAGAGAAGAGGGCCTCACCATAATCTCTCCATAGGCAGGAGCTGAGTCTTCTCTCTAGCTCTCCTCCCTTCCACTTCAGCATTCTAAGTACTTCACCTGTATGAGCCCGTCGAACTCTCTCTACTATCCTCTCATGATTCCCATTTTACAAATGAGAAAACTATTAACAACATAGGTGGTCACACAGCTAATAAATGCTGCACAAGACATGAGCAGGCTATCTAGCTCCAGAGTTGTGCTGAGTCTTGAAGGTGGGAGAGGAATGGAGTGCTAAACAGGGAGAAGGGTCAGGAATGGAAGGGTCTTCAAACCTAAGGAAGAGCTTGCAAAAGTCTCACTTTGCATGGTTTCTAGGGTCCTGTCTCATAATTCTGATCTTTTCTCCAGCTGCCCATATATTCTCAACTAGTCCCCCTTTATGGAAGTAACTCTCTCTTCCTCCCTGTCCTCTACCCTTCATACAACTTTCTTTTCTTTCTTTTTGAGACAGAGTCATCACTCTGTTGCTCAGGCTAGAGTGCATACAATTTTCTGAGTCCCATGTCGACCCTGTTCTGATATGGGAACCTGAGGTATACGGGAACCTGATGTACGGAGAGTTATGGTAGTTCCAGTGTTTTACTTTTTCTCTTTTTACACAAATGAGGCATCTGGAGGAGAGAGAAGGGAGGGGCTGGATTTTGGGGCTGGAGAAAGAATAGAATCCCAGGTCCAGGCCCAGGAAAAAGGCTCACACCACAGCCTGCAGTTTATGGGCCTGCAGAGAGAGGAGCCAGAGGAGATGAGGGCAGGCAGCCTCAAAAGAAGTGAAATTTACCAACTTGTCAGCTGCCTATTGATCAGGTCTGAGCTGGAGTTGGGGGAGGAGAGGGGTGGAGGGTGGTAGTGGGGAGCCTAAGATTAGGAGATTACAGGTTTGGAGCCAAGGGTTGGATGGTTTGGGGGAGGGAGTGAGAGGTGAGATCGATAGAAATATTTTCATTTCCTTGAGAGGTCAATTCTGGGGAAGAGCTACAGACCAGAACCCACCTGTCTTGGCAAAGCTGATGATTTCACATTCCTGTCCCCTGTCATCCTCCGGAAGTGCCCCCTGTGGGGCCCATGGAGGCGCTGCAGTGCCATCCTCAGAGCAGTTTTGGACACAGGCCGGCTCAGTGTTGGGCGCTGGCTGAGGTGCAGCTTGTCCAAGATGCTTCTTTTGGCCAGGTCGAGAAGCAGCTCTCCTCTGGCTCTCCAGGTCCAAGCAGGCCCCCCACATGCTGGACACTGACCACCAGCTCTGGGAGTGGCTGTGACTGGGCCAGGAACAGGAAAGCTAGGAGTAATGGGAGAGGTCATTGCTGGGGAGGCCTTCCTTGAGCAACACAAACCCAGGACTCAGGGTCTCAACGGCTGTGGTCTCAACTCTGTCCCGGCTGCCAGGGGCCCGAAGAAAGTGTGTGCCCAGCTGGCATGGCTCCTTGTTGCAGGAATAGGGCAGGCAAACATCTGATTTGAAGAATGAAGCCAGCTACAGGTAAATTTGCAGAATCTGCCTATGCATAGTCAGTGAAAGTACGGTGTGGGGGATGTGAGGAGAGGTTGGTTTTGTTTGGGGAAAGAAATGTCCTGGGCCAATGTTGGGAAGAATGAACTGCCAGGCCTGGGGACAAAGGTGAGCTGCCAGACTCGTGAGCTGCCAGGCCGGGGGACAAAGTGAGAGATGAAATTCCTCTTCAGATCACTGGGGCTTGCTGGGAATTCTGGGGATAAAGACAGATCCCAGGTTTTAAGATAGAATGTTAAAAGGTGACTCTCAAAACAAGAAGGGGCATTGCGGGTACCTTAGCTCACTGTAATGCAAGTACAGTAACTCAGATTGTATTCTTCTCTTCCAGTGCTCCCAAACCCACTCCAACCCATCCCTTCATCCTCCTCCCTGGGCTCTCAATCCCACTTTCTTTGTTAACCCTGGTTGGCTTTTGCCCTCAGGGGCTCAAAACCATAAAGTCTGAATGTTAAGGAAAGGGAAAACAAAGTGTTCCAGCCAGGTCTTCTGTGTCCTCAGAGGGAAGTCTGAAGATGGGAAGGGGTTTGAAATCTAGATTTGCTCAGCCTTTGGGTATTTTTCTGCCTAGGAACAGAAGTCTTGAGATTTCTCAGATTCCTAGCTCTATTCCCCCAAAGGCAGAGTAGGACTTCCAGGGAAAGGCCTCTGTTTCTACAGGATTTACCTGGCAGGAGTGGAGGGAGGAGTTAGGAGCATAGGCTTTTTTTTTTTTACTATTTCCCAAAGCCTAACAGAAGCATAGGCTCAGGTGGAATACAACAGATATTCTTGGTTGTCTTCAGTTGTCCCAGAAACACTCAGTCTGTCTCACTCTCTGTCATAACATATATAGGTCCTTTATAATCAGCCTTTCCAGTTACATTTCTAAAAGTGTTGTGGTTAAGAGTGGGTTCTGATGATAAACTGCCTTTGTTCAAAGTCTGAGACTTTGGTTGATATTTACCTCAGCTTTCTCATCAATAAAAATAGTTATATAACAGACCAATTTTTTGAGGATTTGATAGAAATAATAGATGTAAATCTGACACAGTGGCTCACATCTGTAATCTCAGCAATCTAGGAGGCTGAAGCAGGAGGATTGCTTGAGGCAGGAGTTTGAGGCTGCATGAGCTATGTTCACATCACCATACTTCGGCCTGGGTGACAGGGGGAAACCCTGCCTCTTAAAAAAAAAGAGAAAAGAAATAATAGATGTAGAATGCTACCCATTTCATGTTATACATACTATACAATACAAATATACCTTATTTCCTCCTTACCATCACTGACTCCTGCCCCCAATTAAAAACCTGGAACTTGCTCATCCTTGAAGGAAAGATGAATTTCATACCTCTAGGCTTTTCTGGAAATCTCCATTCTCACTTCTCTAGTGAACTCCTACTTATATTCTTCAAGGTTGGCTGGAATTTCTTCTGTAGTTTCTCTGTAGTATACTCAGTCTGTCTCATTTCTAAGAACTAATTGCTCCTTGTGTTTCCATAGCACATTGAAACCTCTCTGTTATAGCACTTACATCATACTATAATAATTATTTGATTTTTTGTCTATTGCATTCCTGTCACATAGAAAATTTAATGGTCAAATTCTCTTTTCTTTTTTTTTTTTGAATGAACTCTTGCTCCATCACCTGTGGCTAGAGTGCAGTGGCTCAGCCTAGCCACAGCAACCTCATTCCTGGGTTCAAGCATCTCCTGCTGCAGCACCCAAGTAGCTGGTGTTACCAGGGCACCAAGCCAGCTAATTTTTCTGTTTTTATGTAGGGATAGGGTCTTGCTCTTGCTCAGACTGGCCTTGAACTCCTGACCTCAAGCGATCATCTCACCTCCATCTCTCCTTTCTGGGAGGCCATGTGCATCCTACAGGTGTGAGCCACCGTGCCGCTAAAGGGGAAAAATTGTATCAATGTAAGAATCAATTAATAACTAAACTCCCTAGAATGGACAAATGGGGTAGGTCAAAATTTAATATGACTTTTGTTGTTGTTTTTTTTTTTTTTAAAGCAGGTCTGCTCTGTCACCCAGGCTGTGGAGCTTTCGCGGCAGCCCCATTTCAATCATTGTAGGTCTGTGATGCTTTGCATTGGCAGCCTGAGACTCCGAGTGTCTAAAGGACCTTATCTTTCTAATTTTTTTTTTTTAATTTGTTAAGATCATGTTGGTCAGCGTCCCAAGGTAGCTGGGACGGATCATAATAATCACTTGTGCCCGAACTATCATTTGTCATGAGAATATGTGTAGAGATCCAATGCTGTGATGGACGTATGTTAATAGCTCCAAACTCGCTCTGGCCTCATCCAAGTATATGTTTTCTTGGGGGTCGGAACCAGTATATAAAGTTGTATAGGACTGGTTAGGTAAGGCCATTGTTCTAGGTTCCCACCGCCAGCAAAATAATCTCTGTTAGAGAGTTGTAAGTTCTATTATTGTTGTGTGTTGTTCATTTGATGGTAAATGTGACATTAATAGGACGAGATTCTTGTAGGTAGTTTTTCATCTGTAAATGACACTCCGTTTGTTTACGGACCTACAAATTTACCTTATTTGTCATGGTTGTGTGTTGAAATCAATAGGTTATTCAGTGTCTGCTTGGTTTAGATATGTTTTCCTATTGTGGGATGGGCGTGATTTAGAGTTATAAACTGTGTCCTTAGTGACAGGCTGTATTTTGAATGTGATCTTCACGTTCCAATTCGCTAGTTACTTTAGGTATTCATTGTGATATCATTAGTAGCACATAGAGTATTCTGACAGTCTTTTTTTTTTTTTTTTTTTTGAGAAGAGTCTTGCTTTGTTGCCAGGCTAGAGTGACTGCGGTGGCATAGCCTGGCTCACAGCAACCTCAAACTCCTGGGTTCAAGCATCTGCTGCCTCAGCTCCAGAGTAGCTGGACTACCAGGCATGTGCACCGATGCCGGTAATTTTTTTCTTGATTGTATATATATT